TAGAATCTTACTCTCATTGGAACTGGTTTAGAGAGGGAACAACATATACATCTAGAAGATTCTTCTAAAATGATAAAGAAATAAGAGTGCAAGGGGATAGGATAAGAGAGGGATTTTCAGAAGGGTGCGTAGATTAAGAATTAAGAGGATGGGGGGCACTCTTAGAAGGGAAGGTAGATTAAGTAAGGAGAGGACAAGATACTGGTTAGAAGTTAATTAGATATGTAAGAAGGGATAGGGTAAACAGGGTGAGAAAGGTAAATAGTGAGGAAAAATAGGATGGACTGAAGTACTCAACTAGTAATTATAACTTTGAATGCCAATAGGATTAGTCTATCCACAAAGCAGAAACAGCACAATGGATTAAAAAAAAAGAATCCAACAATATGTCATTTATAAGAAACACAAGATTTAAATAATTAGAGAAATATTAATTGTTCATAGGTAGGCAAAGCAAATATAATAAAAATGATAATTTTATTTAACTAATCTATATATTTAATGCCACCCCAATTAAATTACTAAAAAATAGATTTTGCTGAGTTAGAAAAAATAATACAATTCATTTGGAAGAACAAAAGGTAAAAAATTGCAAAAAACATTAATTAAAAAAATAAAAGGAGGTTCAGCACTACTAGACTTCAAACTACATCATAAGGCAGTAAATATCAAAACTACCTGGTACTGACTAAGAAATAAAAAGGTAGATCAGCGGAACAGAGTAGACATACAATTTACAGCAGCAAATGAATATAGTAACCTAGTGTTTAACAAGCATAAAGATTTAAGTTTTTAGGACAAGTATTCATTATTTGGTAAAAATTGTTTGGAAAACAATTCAGCAGAAATTTGGTATAGACCAGCATCTTAAACCATGTATCAAGCTAAGGTCAAAATGGATATAGGAGCTAGATATAAAGAGAAATATCACAAGAAACTTAGAAGAACATGGAACACATTACTTATCAGACTTATGGACAGGAGAATAATTTATGAATAAACAAGAGATAGAGAGCATTATGAGGTGTAAAATGGAAAATTTCAATTATATTAAATTAAAAAGTTCTTATACAAATAAACCAAGATTAGAAGAAAAGCAGAAAATTAGGGGAAAATTTCATAGACCATCTTTTAGTTAAAAGTCTAATTTCCCCCAGTATATAAAGAACTTTGCCAAATTCATAAGAATATATGTCTTTCTCCAATTGATAAATAGTCAAAGGATATATGAACTGGCAGTTTTTCAATGAAGAAACCAACCTATATATATATACATATATATATATATATATATTATATATATATATATAGTCATATGCAAAAATGCTCTAAATCATTATTGATGAGAGAAATTCAAATTAATGCAACTTTGAGATATCATCTTAGACCTATCAGGTTGGTTAAAATGATAGCTGTCCTTCAATTGGGAACTGACTGAACAAGTTGTGGTATATGATTGTGATGTAGTACCACTGCACTATTAAAAAAATGATGAGTTGGTTGATTTTAGAAAAACCTGGAAAGACTTGGACTTATGAAGGAAAATGCTATCCACTACCAGAGAAAGAACTCTTAAATAGAAGTGTATAGAATGTGGTTTTACATATATGGATATGTGTGTGTATGTATACACACATGTGTATATTTGTGTTTAATTGTAGCCTTCTTGTGGGGTGGGGGCCCATGGAAGGAGAAGGAGGAAGAAAAAAGATTAAAAAGTGCACTGCAGAAAATAGAAGAAAACTTAGAAGGAAGCACAGAAAATAATCTTCTCTTTGTGTTCTGCTGTGTATGTAAAAATTTCAAAAAACATTAAAAAAAAGAAAGAGTAGCAGATCAATGGAATAGATTAGGTACACAATGCACATGATAAATGACAATAGTAATCTAGTGTTTCGATAAACCAAAAAATCTAAGCTTTTGGGGTAAAAACACCATTTGACAAAAACTGCTGGGAAAATTAAAAAGCAGTTTGGCAGAAGCTAGGCATAGAACAACATCTCACATTGTATGCCAAGACTAGATCAAAATGGATAAATGATTTAGACAGAAAGGGTGAAGATATTAAGTAAATTAGCGGAGCACAGAAAAGTGTCAGATCTATGGTTAAGGGAAGAGTTTATGACCAAACACGAAATAGAGAGGATCACAGCAAGTAAAATGGATAATTCTGATCATATGAAATTCTAAAGATTTTGCAAAAACAAAACCAATGCAGCCAAAATTACAAGGAAAGCAGGAAACAGAAAAATTTTTTACAGCAAGTTTCTCTTTTAAAAAGTCTTGCTTCTCAAACATATAGGGAACTGAGCCAAATTTATAAAAATAAGAGCTATTTTCCAATTGATAAATGATCAAAGGACCCAAAGAGGCAGTTTTCAGAAGAAGAAATCAATGCTATTAATAGTCATATAAAAAAATGCTCTAAATCACTAATAATTAGAGAAATACAAATCAAAACAACTCTGAGATACTACCTCACATCCATCAGATTGGTTAACATGACAGAAAAGGAAAACAACAAATGCTGGAGGGCATGTGGAAAAATTGGGACTTTAATATACTGTTGATGGTCTAACTACTTTGGGGAACAATTGGGAACTATGCCCACGTTATGCTATAAAACTGTACATGCCCTCCATCCAGCAATACCACTTCTAGGTCTGTATCCCAAAGGGATCAGAGAAAAGGGAAAAGGATTGACATGTACAAAAATATCTATAGCAGCTCTTTTGTGGTGGCAGAGTTGGAAATTTAGGGGATGCCTATCAGTTGAGGAATGGTCAAAGGAGTTATGATGGAATACTGTTGTGTTTTAAGAAATGGCAAACAGGATGGTTTTGGAAAAAAGCAACTGGGAAGACTTACATGAACTGACACAAAGTGAAATGAGCAGAACCAGAAGAATATTATACACAGTAACAATAATATCATAATGATGATTAACTATGAAAGACTTAGCTACTCTGATCAAAACAATGATCTAAGACAATTTCAAAGGACTCATGATAAAAAATGCTATCCACGTTTAGAGAACTATTGAAGTCTGAATGAACAGTGAAGAATACGTTTTTGCTTTATTTTTCTTGCTTTTTTGTTACAATATGGCTAATATGGAAATATGTTTTATAAGAATTCACATGGTAAGTTATATTATATTGCTTGCCTTCTTCAATGGGTGGGGAAGGGTTGGGATCAAGGCAAGGAATTTTTAACTCATTTTTTTTTAAATGTCAAAAATATGGGGCAGCTAGGTGGTGCAGTGGATAGAGCAATGGCCCTGGAGTCAGGAGGACCTCAGTTCAAATCTGGCCACAGACACTTGACACTTACTAGCTGTGTGACCCTGGGAAAGTCACTTAATTCTGATTGCCTCCTCTCCCCCACTCGCAATAAAATAAAATATGAAGAATAAATTACAAAAATGGAAAATGACATGTATTATCACTTGAAATCACTCTATTTGAGAATAGCCAAGTTGGCAGAGTAGAAGAAAGTAGCATAAACAAGCTTTCCCCAACTATTCCACAAAGATCTAGAAAATACACCATGCCCAATTCTGATTGAGACATCCAAGAAAAAATCTGAATCATTATTCCAGCTTACGTTGGCACAGGGGGAGAGAGACAGAGAGGTTTGAAGGAATAGAGGGATAGAGTCTAGTAAGGAACATGTTATGAGGACACTTCTAGTGTACAGACTAAATGAGAGCCTGCCTGCTGCTGGGCATCAGGTCAAGAAGAGGTCCCAGATCTGGCACAGAGTGGTCTGACTTTGTTTAACCAGGGGCCAACTAGCCGCTCTGTCACTCACTACTCACTGATGGGTCACAGATCCAGTTAGTACTGAGGAGATGTGAGCCATTCGGGAATGAGGATGGGGTTGGGAGTGTGTTGGCGAGGTTGGTTCAAGACGAGGAACAATCATGTGTGGATTCTAGGCTATGTACTGAGCAAGGAGGCTCACATCCACCGAGAGGGGAGACTAGCAGGCAGTGTGGTACTGTGAAAAAGCACAATATTTTGAGTCAGAAGGCATGCGTTCCAATCCCAGTTTTTGCCACATTCTACTTCTGTGATACTGGTAAAGGCACTTAACCTTCTGGGTTTCTGCATCTATAAGAAGGAGGTGAATGGATTAGATAACTTCCAAGGTCCCTCACAACTCTTAAGTCTACAATGTGAAAAGTGTTAGATCTATATCCCTGCACTATACATTCCATAGGAAGTAGAATCTTCAACCTTGAACCTCCATTATTCTACAAAGGCATATCCTGCCCCAGTTTACTTTGCACAGATACGTTTTCAACACATTTCACTCAATCAGGCATAAATGCTCAGTACTTCCACATTTCAGATCTGGCTGTCACTGGATCCATTGTACTTTCACTATCAGTTACTCTCTTTGCCCATGTTCACTTCTCATATGTGTACAATACATAAATGAGAATTAGTGTTAAATCTCATTTTATTGATGGTTAAACTGTAGAGCAGGAAGGTGGTATAACTGCTGGATGGTCACACAATGACCATCCAGAGTGGAAATAGAAAACCCAGGGCTCTCTTTTTTAAAAAAAATTTCACAACATGAGTTTAATTCCACTTACATCAAGACATGTTTATACAATTTATATCTCTGTCATAAAAATGAGCATTTTTGTTAAAGTGAAACTAAATGGACAAGAAACTTGGTAACATTTCCTGATAGCACAGATCCAAAAACATTACACTTCTACTGTTTTAAGTACTGTGTCATTTATATATTCCAAGTATAACTTTTCTCATGGTTATGTTATTTTTACATATAATTTCTTCAAAGAGATGATTCATTAGTAATTAGAAACATGAACATGATCAACAATGCATTACTTGCTATATTGGGTACTGCCAATGACGATCTTAAGAAACTATGCTTCTAGTCAATCTTTTGCTAAAGAAGTCCTGGCCTCTCCTTTTTTTTTCTTTTAAATCATGAAGTCCAAAGGTTAAAACAAAGTGAAATACTGTCACAACACATAACTTCTTTTAATGGAGGAAAAGGAATAATACAAGATCTCAATACACCTCATTTCCCAAGAAAAGGCAAAGGTAAGAGCCTGTATTACGTGTAGATTAAAAAAACTAGTAACTACATACTATACTCTTAAGTGTAATTTAGAACATTTCGTTTTAGCAACAGGCCAGAAATATAATTGTACTTTTATATCGCCAGAAGGAATGTGAACCTTGGACACAGCTAAAGGAACATTTTCCTGATAAAATTATTCATGAATATAAAAGAATTGCTTTTCCTTTGTAAAAATCAATGCTTTCATTTTTTCTACAAGATTTATAAACTTTTTAAAAACAATACAGATGCCTTTGTTTTTTGAAGTTTGTTAGGCATGAGGAAACCATTTTTAAATCTCAAATTTTTGTAAAGCAAATTTGTTAATTAACTAAAAAAATAATTTTGCTTACCCAAACATACTTGTTGCTACATATCTTTATTAAACAATAGCTTTGTATATAAAACAACTAAAAGATTCAAGGAATTTTCATCTGAAAACAGAATTAAAAAAACATTGCTTTCTGTATCTCACTGCATATGTACTGAATATGTACAAAGCCCTTTTTGAAGTAGTGTGATACACAGGATATGTCTAAAGAAACAGAATTAGGCAGTGTAATGAAAATTATTCCAAATGACCAATATTATTGAATTCATATACGCAAAGGCTGTTGCAGACGAAGTAGAATAAAACTAAAACATCCCATGATTGTAGCAATGATCTATCTGGTAATGAAATTTATTCTTTTGTGACCAGATAAAATATGATAGCTTTGTCTATGTCACCAAAAGAACTGTTTTTCTTGGTTAAATCTCTTCATGACACTGGTTCTTTAATAATTTGATTGTTAAGACAACCCCCTGAATTTGCATGTGATTATTTCTAATTTCTTATTTAATATTATACTACTTACTACCTCTGTGACCTTCTGTATATTACTAAGATCATTAGATTTGGAGTCAGAGCACCTGAGTTCAGATCCTGGTTCTGCTATTTACTACCTGTGTAACCTTCACTTTATTTCTCTAGGTTTCAGTTTCCTCATCTGTAAAACGAAAGGATTCAGCAAGAAAGGCTCATTACCTTCTTCAAAGGTCCCTTCCACCTTTAAATCCTTTGGCCTTATAATTAGATGCACAAACATTTTGATGTTCTTCTAGTAATTGTATTTACTCTAATCAGTCCTCACACACGCCACCAAAAAAGAAAAAATCCAAATGGTAACTAAAACAAATGGGAGAAAACCCTTTTAGTCATTTAGAAGTGAAAGTATTTTAAAGGAAGGTAAAAATGGAAATTTTTGCTATCTCTAAATGTAGCAAAAGATTCTGGACCCTAATCAACACTGGAATCACTGAGTATTATAGCCTCAGGATCTAATCTAAAAATATTCCTGCTCCCAGCTAGACTTAGTGTTCTTAACCTGGGGTTCATCAACTTAGGTTGGGTTCTTTAAAAAATTATTAGCCATTTTAATGTAATTGGTTTCTTTTGTTATTCTATGTATTTTATTTTATGCATTTAAAAGCATTATACTTAGGAAGGAGCCATAGCCTTCACCAATGGGCAAGGGGGTCCATGACAAACAAACATGGTTAAGAATCCGTACACTAAAATATATTTAGAAAGCATCTGACTGAAACTTAAGTAGGAAATATTAGGTACTATTAAGAAAGATTTCTGGTCCTCCTTAAAAAAGTGTGTGTGTGTGTGTGTGTGTGTGTTTGTGTGTGTACTTTCTGCCTCTACTTTCTTCCCTATCACTCAATAATTCCCTTCTAAAATCTAGCTCCTGGTGGATAGAGCACTGGCCGAGGAGTCAGGAGGACCTGATTTCAAATCTGGACTCAGACATATAACATTCACTAGCTGTGTGACCCTGGATAAGTCACTTAACCCCATTGCCTAGTCTTAAAAAAAAATCTAGCTCCTGACCGCTTCCCTTGATGAAAAATGTCTCTCCAAAGTTACCAATGACCTTTAAAAAAAAATTTTCAATCTGTAAAAAATCTGCCTTCTTTTCCTCCTATCCTACCACATCACCAATTGGCAATGAAAAAAAAACAAACCTATTACAAACATGTATAGTTAAGTAAAAACAAATTTCTGAACTTGCCATGTCCCCCCAAAATATGTCTCATTCTGTACCCCAAGTCCTTCACCTGTCAGGAGTTGGATACCATGTTATATCATCTGTCCTCTAGAATTACACTGATTAGTGTAATAATAATAGTGTAATTAGCACACCTTATTCTTTCAAAGTTGTTTATTTTTGCCATTTTATGTTCCATCACATTTATATACCACAACCTGTTCATCCATTCCTCAATGTATAAGCACACTCTCAAATTCTCATTATTTGCCATCTCAAGAAGGGCTATATTCTTATAGCCTTAGAATTTGTTTTACTTAGGACTAAGTCTTCTTATAACTTACCCTCCTTAACAATCCCACCTTCTCCCTTTCCCCTCCTATTTTCCAGTTGAGTGAAATGTATTTCTGTACTCAACTCTGTGTGTATGTTCGTGTGTATGTGTGTGTTCTTCCTACCACTGAGGTGAGAATTATAATGCCCAACTATGTAAAGAAAAATAGAAGTGTTGCAAGTAAACTGGAAAAAAAACCCAAAAAACCTGTTCAAATGAGAATGAAGTTAAAGTATTAGCTATTGCCCCAGACCCCCTCGTTTAGGTAGACATCTACTTGCTCACCCCGATCATGTGAGATAATTTTCCCTAACCTTCCTTTCTTTCCCCTTTCAACCAGTATACTCCTCTCCCCTTTTCTCAAAAATGACAAGATATAATAGGGCCACTCCTGGGGACACATTATCATCTTCTCATATTAGACTGTAAACAGTCTGTCCTTATTTAGTCTTTTATCATTGTTCATTTGTGTTTACCTTTTTGCATTTCTCTTAACTCCCGTGTTGGAATTCAAAGTTTCTTCACAGCTTTTTCCCAGGAAAGCTTGGTAGTCCTTTATTTCAATTTCCCCCCTGAATGATTATATTCAGTTTTGTTGGGTAAGTTATTCTTGGCTGTAAGCCTATATACTTTGCCTTCTGAAATATTATATTCCACACTTTCTGCTCCTTTGTGTAAATCATATGTAATCCTAATTGTGGCTTGAATTCTTTCTGGCTGATTGAAGCATTTTTATTCTTTCAATTGGAAGCTATGGATTTTGGCTATGACGTTCCTGAGAGTTCTTATTTTGATGTTTCTTTCAGAAGGTAACCATTAGATTCTTTCTATTTCCACTCTGCTCTCGAGATCAAAGTCATCTGGGCAGTTTTCTTTTAAGACTTCTTAAAATATTTTGTCTAGGTTCTTTTATTTTTGTCATAGAATTCAAGTAGTCCAATAATTTCTTAAATATTTTTCTCCTCAACCTGTTTTCTAGGTCAGCTGTTTTTGTTATAGGAAATTTTAGGTTTTCTTTTTTTTTTCAGTCTTTCGATTTAATTAAAATATATTTTGTTGACTCAGAGCTATTGGCTTACATTTGGTGCATTATAATCAGGGAATTTGTTTGGATAGGGTTTAGTACCTCTTGTGTCAAGTTGTTCCCTTTTCAATTCTTTTATAGCTTTCATTTCATTTCCAACTTTCCCCCTCAATTTCATTGATCAAATTTAAACTCTTTTTTAAAACTCTTGCTTTGTGGGGGATAGAACTAAGATGGCAGAGTAAAGGCAGTGACTTCCTTGAGCTCTCCCCCAGACTCCTCTAAATACCTGTAAAAACGGTTCTAAACAAATTCTAGAGTGGCAGAACCCATAAAAAGACAAAGTGAAACAAATTTCCAACCCCAGACAACCTGGATGAGTGATTAGAAAGCTCTATTGTGCCAGGCTGGGAGAGAAGCATAGTTCAGCATGGGCCTAGCCCACAAAGACCAAGCCTCAGTGAACCTGGAGTAGGCCTCAGGGGATTGAATCAAGGGAAGCTGTGTTGGTTTCCAGACTTCTCAGCTCACAAATGCCAAACACAACTTAGAAGGACAGTAGGAAAGGTCTGTGATCATGGTGAGAGAGGAACTTGGTCATAACCCCAGTCCCAGCATAGCCCTAGGGTGGTGGCTGCTTCTAGAGCTCGGCCCACAGACAGAGGGGGAATGGAGTGGCTGATCAGAGGGGGATTGCAGGGATCTCTTTACTGGTGGAGAGGCAAGATTTTTTTGCTTTGCCTGTCCTTGGGTCTGGTTCATGGTTCTGGATGGCAGTCCTGGTGCAAGGAGGAGCACTGGCATAGTAGAACTTGTGGCAGCTGTGCAAAGCGAATCCTCCTCATAGTTCCAAGGCAGAAAAGAGTGCTTATGGTCACTCATAGACCAGAGCCTAGGCCCAAAAAGGAATGAACACCTCGCCCTTGATTGTATCACCTTGGAAGAAATGAAAATTTACATGTCCTTAGAAGTATCTCTGAAAACAGCTGCACAAAACCCCCGAAACTTGGGACAGTACATTCTCCATACTGAAAACACACCTCTACCTTAACAAAGAGTTTAAAACTCAAGTAATTGGCTAGGAAAATGAGCAAATGGTGCAAAAAAAAGTCAGACCATAGATTCTTTGGTGACAAAGGAGATCAAAACATACAACCAGAAGAAGACAACAACGTCAAAGCCCCTACATCCAAAGCCTCCAATCAGTTCCAGGTCATGGAAGAGCTCAAAAAGGATTCTGAGAAGCAAGTAAGAGAAGTAGAGGAAAAACTAGCAAGAGAAACGAGAGTGATGCAAGAAAATCATGAAAAACAAGTCAACAGCTTGCTAAAGGAGACCCAGAAAAATACTGCAGAAAATAACACCTTAAAAAATAGCCTAACCCAAATGGCAAAAGAGGTCCAAAAAGCCAATGAGGAGAAGAATGCCTTCAAAAGCAGAACTGGCCAAATGGAAAAGAAAGTCCAAAAGCTTACTGAAAAAATACTTCCTGGGGCGAAGCCAAGATGGTGGAGTGAAAGCAGTGACTTGCTTGAGCTCTCCCCCAAACCCCTCCAAATATTCATAAAAAATGACTCTAAACAAATT